TAGATACTCCTGGTGATATTTCTGGTTGCACTTCAATCTCTCCTTCACTTTGTGGTAGGCATCTGCAAGATGATGACAGCAGCTACTAGTGGGGAACAAGCTGCCCTGAAATGTAGACAGCACCTCAATGCAAGCAGCAGTAGGAACCACCTACCATCAGCCAGGTGTTTTATGAATTACAGAATACATTTGGTTATGAATCCATTACAATTCTGTGCTGCTGGCTGCTGTTTGGAAAATTTTGTAAGTCCTCATTTTAGTGAGGTATTTGGACAGTTATTGCCTGAGGATGTTTGATTCTTGTATTGCCAAATAGAAGTGTAGTGCAGAATCCTCCTTCTTGGTCATCCTCGATATTAATAATTTTATCACAAATTTTTTTTTTTAGAAGGTTAATGGACTCAACAACATGTGTAATTGCAATTGATGTAAAGATAGTAGTAGTAGGTTCCCAAATACTCCTTAGTTAAGGACACTTGTATATTTACATATAAAGGTAATCAAATATATATAATATCAGCTTATTGCTAGTTCTTCATTCACTTTGCAAAAAAATTGCATAGTTAGAAGAAATTTATTATTGCTGGACCTACTCTGTAATTATAAATATTAAATTAAATGTGATAAAAAGTCTTTCTATCTTGTTTGATTACTGCCAACAGATGCTCAGTGGTGTGTATAAATGTAATGCCATATGTCAGAAAAAGCAATGAAGTGTTTTTTCAGTGAAAGCAATAATGTATCCTGCTTTACTTAATATTTGTCTAATGATGGCATATGGAGGGTCATATTGATACCACAGTATGGGGAAACTCATACTTTCTAAAAACAAATTCATCTCCTCTGTCCTGAAAGTACAGCTGAGCTCTAGGTACAACTAGCATAGAGGACATACAAAAGAGAGGGGATTTTTTTATTATTAATTTGTTCCTGTGGCTTTATTTAGGAGATAAATCTTTCCCTCATGGTGAATTGCCTTTATTTTTGCTCATGTATAAAAGAGTTTTAACCTTCCTTGGATAGATTTTTTGGTGTTTCAGGCACATTTTTACAATAATCAAAACTGAAATCAAAATCAAAATTGTAGATTTGTGGCAAAACTTCTCCTCTGATTTCACTGTTATTTCCTTACACAATTTGTATACAACTCAGCTTCCACTCCACAAAATCCCATACAGTATAGAACTATCACTTCTGACATGTGTCAATGCCAGATTTATGAACTAGTATTTAGCAGTAATAGTGCAATCAACTGTTTCTCAGAAAAGTCCAGAAACTATTTAGAAATTTAATAATGATTTTAGCAATGTATTTTGCCTAGTCTCCAGACTCCACTGTATTAAAACCATTCAGTAACTCTGACAAGGTGGAAACAAGTTTCTGAGTTCATTTTTAGGAGAAAATGATTCACAAACAGGATAGTGACAGGCTTTTATGATTACAGATTTCACATATTCTATTCCTTCAAAAGGGCTTATAGAGATTGATAGATCTACAAAGAAAGAAATGAAAAAATGAAGGGAAGAGATATAAATAGACTTTTTCATTAGGATGAATGATGGAAGGTATTAACCCCACTACAGCAGTGTGCCTTTTACATGTCTTTTTATTTTTTTTATTCCTTTTGACCTGCTATCATCTTCTTTCTGCGTCTAAGTTAACTACAGTCTGAAACGTAGGTAAGGTGAGCAATAGCTGGAAATAAATGTTTCCTCAAGCATTATTACTGTTCAGAAAAGTGTCCATCAGCCAAAATGTCAGGGTCAAAATCCATTTAAGCACTGCACAGAGGCTAAGCAGGCAGCTATTATTAATTTTTAAGTCTGCATGATGGGTTTCAGACCAAGAACAGGGGTTAACTTGATGCACTGAATATTGCAGAGTATATTTAATTAAGGAGGCTTTGACTCTCAGATGACTAATTTATTCTGTGAAAACTACTGCAGTATTATGATGGAATAGCTGCATCTACCTAAGAAAAGAATCTGCTGCATCATGTTAAAATGCATAAAATTGCTCTTTAATTGCAGTTTCTTGGACTTTTATCCTTATGTAAACATTGTTTACTTTTAACCTGTTTTGAAGAACTACTGTACTGACATCTTGAATAATTTTCTGTTCATCATGCTACATGACTTTAACCAGAATAAACCATGTTCTTCTCAGATAATAACTAAACCAAACCCTTTTCTCACTGTGCTTTAAACAGACATTTATTTATTTAAAATGTATCTGTGGGATTGCTATGAAGGAGTTAACATTTGTCTCTAATGTATTTATCTATAAGCACAGAGGACTCTAAAACACAAATGGCACTGAGACACATAGTGAAATATTAAAGGGCTGTTTATTTGCTTTTGATTGCATTCAGGATCTTAAAAGGCAATAAAAAAAGTAACAAAACAGAAATTACTTCTCCCCAATGATTGTAAAGTCTCCTAGCTGTATCTATTCCGCTTCTTTGCTCCTCTTTCTCCTTCCTTTGCACACTGCTCTTGCCCCTGCCCCAGGCATCCTCTGCTAACTAAAAAAACCTATTTGCACATGAGTCTGGAAGATTATATGTAAAGGTACAAGTGAAGTGGGAAATTTGCCCATTCCTAACAAAGGACATTGAGCTGAATTACACTATACTTTCCAAGACAAGTGGGATGATTTTCACCTGTAACAGAACACCGAATTACCATTGACAGTTCTGAAAGATAAGCAGAAATTAAATGCAGATTCTTGAGTCCTTCATGGGTAATGGGAACTGGGTTAGTTTTACATACTGGATCACCTTAACACTTGAGGTGTTTTACTGGTTGATAAATATGTCAGCTGTTCTCCATCCTCAGTGATTTAAATTTCCATGGGTATCATATGGCTTGAAACTCTCAAAAGACAGTGATGTGGGCACACCATCAGAGGAAAGTGAATTGGGCCTCTTTCTCTTCTGAAATAGGTTTTTGAAGTGAACAGGGCCCTTGCTTTGACAATAAAACCCTCTTGTGAGGGCCTGAATATAAACCACATATGCTCTTTAGCATGTGACTGTAGTTTCCCTGAACATGTATTACCTGATGGGAGTTGTGTCTTTGTTTCACACATGCATAAAACGGGGTGTGTGAAGCATACTATAAAGGGCTAAATAAAGCCAACAGTAACACAACATATTTGTGTAAAAAGTAAAGAGTCTGTCTTCCCAAGTATAAATGTATTTGTGTTTGAATGTGGGTTCGGTGGTGCACACACTATTTCCCTTTTAAAGGCACTGTAGTTTGTGCTTTCCTCATCAGTCTGCAGGCCTTCCCTAATGCTTCATGTAGCCTTCCTGTTCCAGGAATTTAGTTAGTAACTGTCTCACAAACAAAGTTTCCAGCTATCGGTATGAAACCCTAGCTACTGTCATGACTCAGCCATACCAGAAGGAGTTGCCTCTGCATTTCACTGACCAAAGACTCTGTTTATACATTCCAAATTACACAGCCATTGTGCTGCTTTGCCATCTTCTGCTGATACCAGTTTCTGTGCTACCAGCTTCTGCCCAGCTGTCAGTGTCCAACTTTCCAAAGAAGCATTTTCTAGGCTTTTGCTCCTCAAGACCTACATTTTATGTTGCTTCCCCAAGTGTTCATATTTCTGCTTTACTAGCAGCTATCTTTGTCCAGGCTCTTTGCACCTCTTCACAGCACAGTATGTGCACGACTTGCTTATGACTCCTTCCCACTCAATTTTATCTGAGAATCTCTTTGATATATTTTCTTCCTAATTGAAACCTAAATGAAAGTGTTACGATTTGACACTAATGTCAGTTGCACCATGATGGAGAACTGAACGTTGTACCATTTGTAGCAATGGAAAAGGGGTTTGTTTATGGTCCTTCACACTGTTTTCAATCACACAGTCTGCTTTTCCATCACAGACATGAATTACTTGAATTATGTTTTCAATAAGACTTTCCAGATATTATCAATTGCTTTTCTACAAAATAAATTAATTTTTCCTACTACATTAATTTCACCCACTAGTGCTATTCTCTGAAGAAACAAAGTGACTATGTAAAGATTTATGAATAACAGTTTATTAATAAATATTTGGTTGTGTATTATTTATCCTATAGCCATGAAATGCTATCGACATTTGTTCTTTTTTTTGCCCTAGAGGCAACTATTTTACTGTTTAACTCCTCCTAAATGAGAAGAAATAACTGACATGATCACTTGTTGTCTCTTTTTTAGGTTTGTTCTTGTACTTGCTCCTCTTTGGTCATCCAATATTTTTCCATTCTCACTACTGCTTTTAACAATGTCTATGCTAGTTATGTGTGTATGGTGACATCATTAGGCAATTCTCACAATCTCTATTCACACAACGTCCTACCAAATGGTTCAGCATAGTCAGATTTTTCCATACCTATTTAATGACATTTTGAGAAATATTTTTTCAAAGGTGTGCACATTTTCAAACTTTTGGAAAAATATGAGTATGTATATATAAGAGTCTTATTGATAAAGTCAAGTTAAGAACATGGGCTTAGCATTTAAAATGCATGGTCTGTAAGTGTTGATCAGGTTTACCTAATTATTGATCGGAGTGATACTACACGCTGTAAATGGCTTGATCTGTCATCTCCAGTAACTTTACTGATAAGCTGCCATTTGAAAAACAGGCTAAATGGCTTTGGGAGCTTTGATTCAAATTTAAATGTACATACATAAATACAAATATATATATATGTATATGTAGGCAACGTGGATCACATAATTTTCAGCACTATGACTGGCTCATGCAGCAAGAGGTTCACAAATCTCTATGAAGAAGCCTAGAAAGTGCAATCCTACCTAGATAAGACAGTAGAACCTAAATGAGTACATCTTTGAGCACAACTGGTTGCATACATGAATGCCAGTTTCTGCCATTTTCCAAACTTTGTCCTTTGCCTTGGTAGTCAATGCAAGACTAAGTCTCACCCCAGGCACTGTGGGTCCGGATATGGAGAGGTGTGTATCAGTACTTACAGCTGTCCTCCTCCTCCATGAAAATACTGATCACGTAACAGGCATACACAAATCCAATCAGCTGTAAGAAGGAAGAGGAAAAGCAATCATTAGAACACACTGAACACTTATCAAGCTTTTAGTACAATGATGCAGAAATAAAGCTAGATGCTAAAAATATTTAGTTCCATTTCCTGCATTTGTAAATTTCAGTGCAAATAGTCACAAATATATTAAAGAGATTTCCTCCCTGTTGATCATGTTGCATAGCATATACTTTAAATATAAATAAATATTTTATATTTTAAAATATCTCCCCAGTCCCACTGGGGTCAGTATTGAATACTACTACCAAGTAATACTGGTGGAAAACACCTGCACCTTGACATTCAGCTATTATTTACACTTTTTTGTTTGTTCAACACCTCTTTTCTCACATGAGTTTTCCGACATGAATGTGGGCCCTCTATGCACCTCATATACTTACTAAACAGACAAAATGTTTATTGACTGCTACAGAATTCAGTTATAGCAACGCTTCTATGGAATCCACAAGAGATGTCTTTTTGTGTTGCATAAAGTGTCCTGTGAAGAACTGTTGGAAAAATTTAAGTTGATGTGTGAATTCTCATGATGTAGCTGAACAGTAAAACTGGTTTATGATTCACTGACATCAGGAAACATCAGAAGGCCCTATCAGTAATTCACAATAGCTATGCAAGTAATGCACAGATTAATTTCCCCAAAGGTCAACACCAGCCAAACCATACCATTATTTTAACAGCTGCACCCACAAAAACATCCTCCTCAACCTGGATTTGTGTCACTTGGGCCACCAAGAGGAAGGGATTAGAATCCTTAGGTTGAGGAAATAGAAACCCCACTCATTTGTTATCAATATAGACAAAGTGTTTTCTTATAACCACCACCAAAGAAGAAGAAAATCCCACTGGGCAAGGAAGCCTATTAAACTGCACTGCCTGGACATGCCCATGCCTGAGAAAATACTGTTTGTGCAGCTTTGCACAATTAAAGCTATCTGAAAGCCTTGAAAAGACTCTTCATGAGAGATTTCTATAATAACACAGAGATTAGTTTTAAGAAAACTCCTTTTTCACTGATCCATTCAAAAAATCTAATTAAAACAGTTCTTCTAGGGATGTCACAGATCAACCATCTGAGAAAGAAGTAATTTAATAGTATCTAGACAGGTATAAGCTCATTCAGAAAACAGAAATTATTCCAACCTGCTTTCTGGTGTGGCTGCATGAGGAGCTTTACAAGCAGCTCCAAGAGCCTCTCTGCAGACAAAAAGCTTGTCCACACAAGGGAATTCGGGGAAGTTAAGATGAATTAACTAAAGCTGTGAAATCAATGCACATAAGATAAAGTACATTAAATCCCTGTGTGGCCTTTCCCATTCAGAAATAAAGTGGTCCTAGTTCACTGCAGCTTAATCCTTCTCCAAGGGATTAATCTTCCCATGGAGAATTAAGCTACAGTATGCTGAAGCTGAGTTTGCTGTGAATGAGGGCTGTCACAGCTCTGTGGCACAGCCCTGTCAGAGCTTCCTCTCTGGGGCATTCATGTCACTGGCGTTTTGGGAAAGTGAGTTTAGTCCAACTTTCCTCTTGTTCTGAGCAGACTACAGTATTGGCAGCTTCCTTGACAATTTTTGTGTCCATTCTACTGGGGTGGTATTGCCATAGCCTCTGTCAGGTGAACACTTCTTCGTTATACTGATGCTCTGAGGCAGCCTAATGCAAACCAGCTCTGCAGGAAGGCACTCGCTGGAGATGGCCAGGACTCAGCCATGCCTGAGCATCCCCACCGTGCCTGGTGTGAGGTGGCTGAAACTGGATGGGACCCTCAGACATGGCAAGGCTCAGTGTTTTGCTGCATGTCCACCTTTACTGGCTGAAGACTCTGCATGTGGTTAAGAGAAGTCCAGCCACCTGCTATTAATGATAACGGGATCTTGTGGTTCTGCTGCCCAGCACATCCAGGACCAGCACTGATTTTCAGACTCCTTGACAGATCAAGCATATTTCTTCCCTAAACTTCACAATTTAGAGCCCCTTTCAGGCATGACAACAAAAATAATATGCTATAAAGGCTTCCATGGGATTAAAAGACAAATCATACTTGAGGTATAATGCTTGCGCCACATGAAGGTTACATATAATTAAAAAAATTATTGCATTAGTACCATGAAAACACCAGAACATAGGCTCTGGTGTTCATGATTTTTTATAACAGAATATTATCTGTTTATTTACAATATTTCCTGTTCACCATTTGTGTTGTGCAATTTGACTACATAAGTCACCTGGGTTTGTTTCTTTTCCCTAAACACAGATGAAATATTCTGCAGAGTAAAACTGCTAAATAAATAATGAACACGATAAAATGAATTGTAGTACTACTTGTGGTAAAGTGTTTGTGAAGGAAGAGCTAATATTTAGAATTATTTACTATTTTCCCATAATGTATTTTTTCTTGTTATTAGTATTCGGTTATATATATTCTTGTTATATATATTTTCTTGTTATTAGTATTCTGCATTAACTGAACTTTATTTTTATAAATGCAATTCCTTCTTTATATGTACGTGTGCTCAATATTACATACATACTACATAAAAAATCTCTCTGTGCTTCCAACAAATTTCTCACATATCTAATGTGTTGAACAGGTGGATAAAGCGTAGCAAGACTTCCACTCTAGTGAGTAATAAACCATCTGACACAAAGAACAAAAGTAAAAGTACTTGGAGAGGTCTTCCCTTCAAAAACATGCGAGTGATGACAAGCCTGATTGTTTTAACAGTCCTAACAGCTTACATCTTGCTCTTTCTCTAGACCTTCTCCTTAAAATAAAACTTTTCCCACACTCCTCAATGTTTGAAACAGACTTTGTCTAATCTATGACCTTCTTGCAAAATCAGCAGCCTCTATCTGCTTCTCAGAAATAGATTTCTTTAAATTTCTCAGCATTAGTAGATAAATATTCCTTAGTCACTTAAAAATCATTGCTACCCGTTGTATTTATGGCAAACATTTGTATAAAAGACACGGTTTCCCTCATCTGTTTAGTTATTAATACCAGGAGAAAAAAACCCCCAGTACATTCACCCTCTCAAAATTTCATGGTCATGGAGGGGAAAACAAAGATGAAGTCTCTAACCGTGTCAAGGGATATCATGACCTACCATATTTCAAGAATATCTTTCTACAGTTTAATGTCAGAATTAAGGTTTCTGAAAAAAATAAAGCAACAAGGAGGAAAAAGAGCTCTTTAGCATCAATTGTAAGGTATTGTTGTTCAGAGGTGGACAGCAACCTGTGGCATGGAACTAACAAACAAATAATTATAGTTGGGAAGCTGATATTTACAGCACAATTAACATGAAGTGATAAAGTGGGAATATAGCCTTTGACATGAGACCTGTTTTCAGGTCTTTAAACTAAGTTATAGCCACCACAGTGTGAGTATTTTTAAAAATTAATTGATTAAAACATCTTATTTTGTGTTATTGATGGACTCATTAATAAAGTATTTATTCCAACAAATTACTTTTGCTATCTTGATTAACCCAGCTGCTGTTTAATTAATAGTATTGTACTCATGTGAACCCACGGAGCCAGCATGCTAATTGCCAATCTGCAATGAGCTGACTAATGTGCACTGCCCAGTTTCTTGATATTGGAAATGCTGGTTGTTGGCTCGGCACCAAGTGATAAGACTTAAAAGTGTGTTCCCTGATAACCAAAGAAAATAGGATGCAAATGAGCTGTAAGATACTTAATCTGGTCATCTTGAGTTTCTGTAATCATTCAAAGGGACCAGTGAAGTGGTTGGAACAGGATATCCAAAGCAGCAAAAGTCACTAGCACCTGGAACTATAAACATGAGCCTCTGTTTTGATTCAGAGAGCAATTTAGGTGCCAAGGTGGATTTGTCTTAATGATATTGAGTTCAAAGCCTTGAAACCTTCTAGAATCCCTGCACTGTACAAGACTGGCAATTTTTCCTGGAGAACCCAGTCTAGTTAAGTGTCTCAGAAGAAACTTATCAGTGTTATTCTGCAGAAAATAGGTGGGAAACTGTGAGAAGAAGCTGTTGTCCCCTGCTTTCATCCAGCTACAGAGTGGTCAGGGTACACATCTTTCTCTGGAGAGAATAAACAATACATCAAGGCCAGCTTGGATGGGATTTGAGAAACCTGACCTAGTGAAAGATGTTCCTGCCCACGGCAGGAAAGTTGAACCAGATGATCTTTAAGCTCCCTTCCAACCATTCTGTGATTACATGAAATAGCTGAGTATTTTATAGAATCATAGAATAGATAGAATAGGTAGGAACTGGCCTTCAAGCTGGCCTTGAACACTTTCAGGAATGGGGCAACTGCTTTAGGCAACTGTTCCAGTGCCTCACCACACTCACTGTAGAAAATGTCTTCTTTATCTTAATCTTAATCTCGATCTACACTCTTTCAATTTAAAACTGTTACCCTTTGTCCTCTCACTACAGACCATGGTAAAAAGCCTCTCTTTATCTCTCTTATAAGCCCCCTTTTACATTGAAAGGCCATGGTAAAGTTTAAATACATCCTATTCCCTCAGCCCTCTGATCAATCTCATGGCCCTCCAGATGGAGTCTCTTGAGTATAGAGTACAGGATGAGAATAACCTCCCTCAATTTACTGGCTACACTTCTTGTGATGTAGCCCAGGGAACAGTTGGCTTTCTGGACTGCAAGTGCATTTTGCAGTTAAGCTTGTGATTCATCATGATACCCAAGTTCTTCTCAGCCGGGCTCCTTTCAAGCCATTCATCCCCCAGTCTGCACTGATATTACAGATTGCCCTGGCCCAGGTGCAAGATCTTGCACATGGCCTTGCTGAACTTCATGAGGTTCATATGGGCCCACTCCTTGAGCCTGCCAAGGTCCCTCTGGGTTGCACCTCTTCCCTCAAGAACATCAACAGCACCACTCACCTTGGTGTCATCAGTAAACCTGCTGAGGGTGCACTCAATACTGCTACATCAGTAAAGTAGCACTGGTCACAGTATGGGCCCC